AAAAATAATAATAATAAATAAATAAATAATAAAAATAAAAAATAATAAAAAATAATAATAATAATAATAATAAAATTATAGTTAAAAAAAATCATATTTCAAGGAATTCTTATTTTACAAAATTTTTATAAAAAAATATAATCTTCATTTAACATTTTGCTTATCTTATTATAATGTATTAAGACTATAGCACCTCAAGATACGAAAGAAATAACAATGGCGAACAACTCAAATAGCCCTAACCTAGTGGCATTGAACCAGTGCTTGCACAACAATTTCAAGCTATGATGAGCACGTTCATCCAAGCGACAGTGCCACAACATATACCGCCACAACATATACCGCCACAACCGACACCATGACAATTGTCACCACCTCAAGCACCAGCAGTGACAAAAGATAACATGAATATTGCTGCGATTGTTGTGGAACTTTTTAGGAAACAGCATCCCCTAACCTTCGAGGGTGGAATCGACCCATTGGAAGCAAAAGATTGGCTGGCAGGAATAGAAAGAATTTTTCACCTCATTGACTGCACGGATAGTAGGAAAGTTATCTACGCAACATTTATACTTAAGAAAAGTACTATGCATTGGTGGGACTTAACCTCAAGGTTAAAGGCTCACGGACATATCTAGACATGGAATGAATTCAAGGAACAATTCTCGAGATAATACTATCCCACAAGTATCCACAATTAGAAGGAGAGAGAGTTCCTCAACTTAGTTTAGGGCTCAATGTCCTTAACTGAGTATAAGAGGAAATTTGAAGAGTTATCTCATTATGCCCCTAAGCTAGTGGACACAGGAAAAAAGGGTCAGACGTTTTAAATAAGGGTTGAGAGATGATCTACGACAGGCTTTGGTAGTGTTTCAACTAGGAACCTACCATGAAGTGTTAGCTAAGGCCTAGTTGGCAGGTTTCAAGCATCAATAGTGGGGAAAACAAGCAGCATGTACAGCCAGAAAAGCTAAGGTAGGAGAATTACAAGGGAAAAGGAAAGCAGAACTTCGTAAAGAAATAGAAAAGGAGGTGCAAACAGTTATCAACAGTATTCAGTTTGAGGCAAGTGCGCCATACTAGAAGTGTACCTCATGGGAACAGGTTTATGCTTCAATTGTGGTGAAATGGGCCATATGGCACAAACATGGCCCAAGGGACAAAAGCAAAAGCAACCACAACAGAAGCCTAGTAATCCCCCTAGAGGCCAAGCTAGGTGTAGCGACCTAAAATTTACCTTTTGGATCATTATAGCGTATCGTAAAATAAAGACTTAATTTCACAGAAATATAACTTTTGTACCAATTACAATAATTGAAAAAGAAGAATTAATAAGTAATAAAAGTAAAATAATAAATTACTCAATAATATCTTTATTATACCACCAAAGAGCCATTTCAAACTCTAACTCGTCGAATATAAATTATCTGAAAGGGGAAATTTATAAACGATGAGATAAAATCTTAATAAATGAGCCACATAAATTGTAATTCATATTTAAAATTTTGGAATTCATAATGAACATAAGGAAACACGAGGATTAGAAACCGAACTTAGGTGGTCATAATCCCCATACATAATCATTACATAGGGAGACGAGAATTAAAAACCGTACTTCATTGCTATAATTCCCGTGCGTGGCGCTACTAAATTCCAGATCATTGAATATATATATATATATATATATATATATAGGACCTATATTATATTCGTAAATCAAATTTCATATTTTAAAGTATGAAAAACGATTTAACATACAATGTATGACTACTTACATACTTGAAATATCGTAGTAAATATGTAGAGGAGAATTTAACTTGAACAAAGTGATAATATGTGTGTGATTGTGATTTACGTGTGGTATTTATAGGTGCACCTACGGGTACTAAAAGGGAAATGCCATAATGGTGTCCCTATAATCGTGCATTAAATAAGGCAATGAGTTATACTAATTATGTAATTTGAATCAATCAATCATACTTAGATAATACACATATAAACACACATAATTATAGTAACCATGTAATTTAAAATTAATAAACCTATATATAATTATACATACATAGATGCGCATAATTATGATGATACTATATTTGAAATATAGTTATATATAAATTATACATATATAGACACACGTAATTATGGTAATACCATATTTGAAATCAATAAACCATAATTATATTAAATTATACATATATGAGCTCACGTAATTATATTTATATATATATATATATATATATATATATATATACTTGTTACCGGAGTAGAAGCTGCATCACTAATCACGGATGTTTGGACATTGAAGTACCTCTATGAAGGAAAAGGTCTTCATTGATTTCGCCCATAGGTGGGATCTCAATTCCTCGTTTTTGACATGCTACTCACGGGGAAAGCAGGGTATGTGAGACCCCACAAGTTAAGTCGTGCTGAGCCACGAGATCTTCCTTTGGATCGTTACAACGCTCGAGTCGGTGTGTGATCACCTTTGGTGAAGCAACCCTTCAGATGTGGATTGGAAAGCCAAGTGAACATGGAGTTGTTAATATGTTTCTCAACAAGGTGATGTAACATACATCACATACTTGATGAAGTAGCAAGGATTGATGAATCGGATAAGCCTCTATCAATCCTGGTGGTGGGGGTGGGGATAGTAGGCTCTACGAATATATATGTGTGAATATATATATATATATATATATATATATTCACACATATACGATAGTTTACTTATTTAGGAAGAAATCTTCCTAACTTTCATCCTCTTGCACTAAAGTCTCAATTTTCATAATTCACAACGATAAAGGATTTTGGGATATTAAATATGGTGTACAAAACAGGAAGAGGACAAGGACCGCAAGGTTTTAGCAGGTGACATCCTTATATCTTAAACCCCTGCTTATACTTTGATTAATTCTGGCTCCACTCATTCTTTTATATCCTCAAAGTTTGTGAACAAACTCAATACACCTAATGAACATATAAATGCTACCTTAGAAGTTGCTATGACCTCAGGAGAAGTGTTAAGTACAAAGACTAGAATAAGGACGGCTAAGTTAGAGATCGATGATAAATCCTTAAAAGCGAACTTATATGTCACTAACATGCAAGAGTTCGAAGTAATTTTGGGAATGGACTGGCTATCTAAAAATCACGCAACTATTCTATGTTTTGAACGAGAAGTGGCATTTAAGCATTCGGAGAAATTGAATGTCGTCTTTCCGTAACTAAGGCAAAAACCCTACCTCGTATCATTTTGGCATTAAAAGCTAAGGAACTCTTGAAATCAGAAGGCTGTAGTGAATTTTTTATGTCAATAGTAGCTAAGGAAAGATGAAAACTGAAAGTAAGCGATGTTAAGGTGGTACGAGAATTCCCAGAAGAATTTCCTAGTGATTTGAATGAAATGTTGCCTAAACAAGAAATGGAGTTCACAATTGATCTAGTTTCCGATTCCATGCTGATTTCTAAAGCTCCTTATAGAATGGCACCAAAAGAGTTACAGGGACCGAAGGCCCCTAAAAGAACTGTTGAAAAAAGGGTTCATCCGACCCAACGTTTCACCATGGGGAGCACTAGTGTTGTTTATCAAAAAGAATGACAAGATAGTGAGGATGTGTATCAACTATCGAGAATTGAATAGAATCACCATTAAAAATAAGTATCCCTGCCCAAAATCGAAGACTTGTTTGATCAACTACGAGGAATCAGAGTATTTTCAAAGATCGACTTAAGGTTGGGATATCACCAGTTGAGAATCAAATCTAGTAACATCTCAAAGACAGCCTTTAGAACTCGGTATAGTCACTACGAGTTTCTAGTTATGTCGTTTGGCTTAACAAATAGTCATGGAGTTTTCATGGACTTGATGAATTGTGTTTTCCATGAATACTTGGAACAGTTTGTCATTGATGACATCTTGATCTACTCTCAGAGTGAAGAAGAGCATGAAAAACATTTGAAAATTGTGTTAGAGATCCTCAGGAAGGAAAGACTTTTTGCAAAATTCAAGAATTGCGAATTTTGGTTAGAAAGGGTTATCTATTTTGGTCATGTGGTCACAGCACAGGGAATAGAGGTGGATCCCAATAAAGTAGAGGCAATATTGAACTAGTTATGGCTAACAAATGTGGGAGAAATTCGCAAGTTTTTGGGTTTAGTAGGATACTATAGAAGGTTTTTATTGAGGGATTCTCCAAAATATCAGAACCATTAACATAATTAACTCATAAAGGTGTGAAGTTTGAATAGACAGAGAAATGCGAACAAAGTTTTGAGAAATTAAAGAGGAGGTTATCTAATGCGCCAGTTTTAACCATACCTAGAGAATCTAAAGGTTTTGTAATATACATTGATACATCCAAACTGGTATTGGATATGTTTTGTTGCAACAAGGCAAGGTAGTTGTTTATACATCGAGACAGTTTAAGCCTTACGAGCAAATCTATCCCACATATGACCTAGAACTGGTTGCAGTAGTTCATGCTCTGAAAATTTGGAGGTACTATTTGTATGGAAGGAAGTGTTACATTTATACATATCATAAGAGCCTCAAGTACATCTTTACTCAGAAAGAGTTGAACATGAGATAGAGAAAATGGCTTGAACTAGTAAAAGATTACGATTGTGAAATTCATTACCACCTAGGAAATCAGGAAAACAAGAAGACAAGTGGCGATGTTAACAGCACAAAAGCCTTTATAGAGACAATTTAAGAGATTAAGTCTCGAAGTGGTCACTACTCTCTCTGATTTTGTTGCTCGAATAACAGCACTTTCAATTCGACAGACTCTTCATGATCGGATTAAGAGTCATCAAAAGGGTGATCGATCCTCTGAGTTTATCAAAGCTGAGATTAACACAGAGAAGAGAAGATTTCACCATTGCTGAAGATACTTTATTATCAGGGACACCTGTGTGTACCAAATTTCGAAGAATTAAAAACTGAAATCTTGAAGGAAGTCCACTCTACTCCTTATTCTATACATCCAAGAAGTACAAAGATGTATCGTAGCCCAAGAGCTATGTTTTGGCAGAAAAACATGAAAGAAGATATAGCTAAATATGTGGAAAAGTACCTAATATGTCAACAAATGAAGCCCAAACATCATCGACAAGCAGGATTGTTGCAGTCGTTGGAAATTCCAAAATGGAAAAGGGAACATGTGACGATGGACTTTGTTTTAGGTTTTACGAAGTCAGTAAAAGGTCACGAGGCTATTTGGGTGATTGTTGATCGTTTAACCAAGTCAGCCCGTTTCTTACCTGTTCGCATAACATTTTCTATGGACCAATTTGCACAATTATATGTTAAAGAAGTAATGAGGCTACATGGTGCCCCAGTTTCAATTGTATTAAATAAGGACCCAAGGTTCATGTCAAACCTTTGGAAGAATTCACAACGAGCTATGGGAAACTATATTTAATACAACTTTTCACCCTTAGAATGATGAATAGTCTAAGCGGACAATCCAAATATTAGTGGATATGCTGCAATCGTATGTCCTAGAAATTGGTGGACATTGAGAAAAATATCTACCTTTAATTGAGTTTATATACAACAATAGCTATCATGCCTCTATCGGCATGGCACCCTATGAAGCTTTATATGGGAGGAAATGTAGATCGCCTATTCATTTGGATGAGGTTAGCAAACGTATGATCTTAGGCCCAAATATTGTAGAGCAAACAGTACAAGCAATTGAAAAGATCAGAGTTAGCATGAAGAAAGCTCAAGATATACAAAAAAATTATGTAGATAAAAGGAGAAAGAACCTGGAATTTGCGATCAAAGATAAAATACTTTTAAAGGTTACACCCATGAAGGGAATACTACGATTTGGTAAGAGGGGTAAGCTCAGTCCAAGATATGTTAATCCTTATGAAATTTTAAAGCGGACTGGAAATGTTGTATACCAGTTAGCATTACCACCGGAGTTTTCAACTGCACACGATATCTTTCATGTATCAATGCTCAGAAAGTATGTTCTGGCCCAACTCATGTGGTGAGACATCAACCATTAGATATTCAGCTGAACCTAAGTTACGAAGAAGCACCAATGTACATCATAGCTTAGAAGGTACAGAAACTTCGCAATAAAGAGATACCGCTGGTTAAAATATTACGGCAACATCACTCAGTAGAAGAAGCTTTTTGGGAGAGAGGAGTGGAAATGCGAGCAAGCACCCACAACTCTTCAAGGAGTTCCAAAGTAAATTTCCCAAACGAAATTTAATTTAAGGGAGATAGGTTGTAATGTCCCGAATTTTTACTACTAGTCGTTATATTAAAAATTAGGATTTAAGTGCGCTATTATTAAAGTTTAATGACCTTATTAGTTATTGACGTAGCTAAATGATCATATTGATTATTAGCCAATAGTTTGAGAATCTAAGTGGAGTAATTTGGAAATTAGATAAAATCATATGTAAAATATATGTAATATGCATATTAGCCATAATTAAAGATAATTTATTTGATAACATGCATTATTCATCACGTTTTAAATAATGTAATTGATTTGACCACATGCATTATTTACACCAAGTTTCATGCTAAATCAATTGATTTGATCATATGATTAAAAGTATTGATTTGACAACTTTCAAGACAATGCACCAATTATGCATTGATCATGCCTAACATCTAGCCATTTCCTTTCAATTTTCTACACATGGTCCAAGAATTTGAAATATAAATAAGAGATAAACTCAACATTGGACTTCCCCTCACCAACTATTTACACTCTCCCACTCTATCTTTATCATGTCTCTAGATCTCTACTCTTTCTCGTCCTTTTTATATTAAATATAATCATACACTTACACAATCACATAACCCCACACGGCTCAAAGGTTTTCCTCCAACAATCACTTCTTCTATCATCTTGAATTCTCAAGTGAAAGGTAAGTATAGCAGTACGAATTGGTATTTCATTATTTAAGGAGAAAATTGTAGCAGCGGTCTCTAACCTTTTTATTTATTTGCAAACTTTACCCTAATATTCATTTTGTGCCATCGAAAAGTTTCTAACCTTTCATAAATATACACCTGAGGTCCATCTGGACAGAAACCTTTCAAAACACTGTCAATTGTCAATTGATCGGGAAAACTTCTTGAACTATTTGTTACCACGACGGTTTTATTGGATGTTGATACCTTTTAGAAAAGTGTTTTTGGATGGTATTTTGGACTGTTTTATTGGATGTTGGGTCGTTAGTTTTCCTGATCAACTGACAGTGTTTTAGATAGTTTCCGTCCAAATGAACCTCAGGTGTATATTTATGAGAGGTTAGAAACCTCCGCTGGCACAAAATGAAGGTTAGGATAAAGTATGCAAAAAAAATGAAAAGGTTATGGAACGCTATTGCAATTTTCCCTTATTTAAATTACGAGAAATTTATGTTATGAATATGATGATACGGAAATCCAAGTTATGATTATGATAGGGGTCCTATATGTGCAAGTTCAAAGGACTAGAGTGTAGTAGCACTACGCACGGGAATTATAGCCACGAAATTCTAATTTTAATTCACGTGTCTCCATATGTATGTTATGATTTTTCGTATTTAAATATGAGATGCAAATTTGTTATTTCATTTACTGAGATTTATGTCTTACACGTATGTTTTAAATAATTTATAGATAACTAAAAAGGAGGATCGAGGCAATTGGATGAGGATTGTGCTTTTGTGGTTGAAAAATGAATAATAATTTAACTAGTTAAAGATTTTAATTATGTTTATTTTTTTTAAAATTAATTTCAATCCTTGCATGTTCAAAAAATATTATGTTTTTTCATTGTTTATGAAAGTATTCTTTTACAGTACATATACAATGATTTCAAAGGTAAAAATTTGGGTCGCTACTTTGGCAAACTTTTGCTAATTTTGGGAACTTGTGTAACTAATCAATCTTTTGGCCTTGATTGTATAAACTGTGAGGGTGTTTGAGCCCCATTTTTACGGAAAAATTGATTTTAGAATGGTAGATTGATAAAGAATGTATGGATGAAAAATAAGGAAATTTTTTTATTTACATGTAATATTATTTTAATGAAAAATGTGTAGTTAAAAAGAAGATGGAGAAAAATATTTTTTGATAAAAATGAGAATCAAACAGGGCCTGTGTGTGGTGGTCTTGATAATATTTTGTTATCTTGCAGAAGAATTTATTCTTCATAAACGAGAGAAAAGTGGATGCTTGGTTTATCATAAATGAGAGAAAAATTAATTTAACATGGGGCAAAAAAGAAAACTAATCAGACTCAAAGATGATAATTATGTTTATACTAGACCAAGTTTGATTTCCCCACAGTTTTCCAATCTATATTAATACCTGTACAAAATAAATCATTATTTTCCAACTATAAATAATTCAACTGGATGAAAGGGACAGTTATACTGAACTAACAGGCGATAGATATCGCATAAAGTTGCTAGAAAATTCCCATCAAGAAAAGAATTAAATCCCTCAAAGTAGAGCCTAACTAATAGTTTTTCTGAAAGCTTATTGCATAATTGCTCCATCCTACCGAAAATCTCGTTTAAAATGGAGCAGAAAGGATAAGTTAATCAAACTCAAAGAATACCTATATGTTTATCCTAGAGTAGATTTTGTTTCCACATGAAGTTTTTCAATCTATGATTCGATCTATCCATGAATTATTGATCCCTTTTAGAAATTGTAAATTCCCTTATCTTGTTCTTGACTCAAGCCCACTACAAAATACTTATCAACAAAGGATATGAATCCCAGTAAGTAGATTAATCCCACTACAAAATACACATTAAAATAGGAAATAGAACATGTTTTTAAGCTTAGTAAACATGCTATAAGTCCAACCAATTCAATTAAACACCATTACAAAATTCACAGACCACTAATTGTGCTCATAAATAAAAATTTAAAATTTAATGAAACGAACAGATACTAAACAAATAGGCAAAACCCAGAAAAATCAAGACTTACAGATTAACAAAATGCCCTGCGAAATTCTGGGACTTCAAGGTCAAATAGCAGAGATTTTTTAGGGAGAAAAAAATAAAGAAATGGCACGAAAAAGTTCTTGTTCAGCCAAGAAATTAAAGACTCGGGGGACAATAGACAAACGCGGTTTGCGGAAGCATCCGACTCTTTTCATAGTAGAAGAAGATTGATTTGATCTCCTCAAGTCAACGACGTGCATATTCCTCTTTTTTTCTTTTTTTCTTTTTTGTTTCCCCCCTTCGGCTTCAGAATACAGGAAATAGTGAGGAATAGCAGGTTGAACTTGTCCTTTACCACGAACGTCATTGACACATTTTTGTAAGTTAAGGGTGTTTGTTTCTCACTTTTATAAAATGAGAATGAAAAATATAGTTATCATGAATTTTATATAAGAGATATAAATTTAAATTTGATAATTTGATGTGATGGATAATAGTCATTTTTTTATTTTAATAAAGAAAAAAATAGGAAATAAACACGGGCTAAAAATATGTAAAATAACAATATAATAATTTAATCCACAATTGTAAAATTATTGAGAGAAAACTGAAGAGCCATGTGATGAAATGACAGGAAGAAAATCAACAAATTTTTTGTATGTTTTATTAATAGTTTGTTTGATACAGTTAAAAAGACAATTAAAATCAATTTTTTTTATCGTTATTTCACTATTACAGCCATCGTTTTTAAATTCTTCTCTAACAAGTAGGATGAACTTTATCTCTAACAGTCAAAAAATCAATTATTAAAATCCCTAGCAAGCAAGCACTAAGAATAAAAGTTTTGTAGGTAAGAATTAGTGATACAATGATAATATTTTTTAGGGTTGTAGGGTAAAATTGTCATTCACTAATAAACTTACCATTTACAACACTCCCCTTTGAACAACATATTAAAAAATATCTGTATTTTTAAAACCTTGTTTAATAAAAATTCAATGTGACAAAAAAATCAAACGAAGAAAAAAGAATACAGTTATTTTGGAGTATTAAAAATAAATATTGCATCATAAAACCTTGTTAAGAAAATTGAGTTTAACCTAAGCGAAGGAAAAAGAGTACAGATACTCCACTGATGTTGATAATTGAAAACCTTTGAGTCAATGCATTCCAATATTGTGAACCAATTTCTTGAATGTACATGTCAACGGTGCTTTTGTGAATAAATCGGTCACATTGTCACTTAAGCGAATTTGTTATATATCGATGTCGTCATTCTTTTAAAGCACATGAGTATGAAAGAATTTTGGAGAAATATATTTCGTCCTGTCACATTTGATATAATATCTCTTGAGTTGTGCAATACAAGTTGCATTGTCTTCATACAAAATTGTTGTACTATCTTTTGTTGAAGTTAACTTGCATGGTGCTTGAATATGATGAGTCATGTTACTCAACCATACACATTCTCGACTTACTTCATGGATTGCAATAATTTTGGAATGATTTGAGGATATTATTGTAAGGATTAGTTCACATATATCCATGATATAGTTGTTCCTCCACGTGTAAACATATATTCTATTTGTGATTTAGCTTTATGTGGATCAGAAAGAAAACCTGCATTTGTATATCTCACTAAAACATATCCCAACTTTTGAAAATAAAACAATCCCAAATTAATAGTGTCCTTTAGGTAATGAAAAATATGTTTAACACCATTCCAATATTTTGGAATAGGTGTTGAGCTATATCTTACAAGGAGATTTACAGAAAAAGTTTCATCGGGTTGAGTGCAATTTGCAAAATAAGTTAATACTTCAATTGCACTAAGATATGGTATTTCAGGACCAAGAACTTTTTCTCCATTTTTAAGTGGATGAAATGAATCATTTCTTCACATAAAGTGATCGAATAACCATATGTAATGTCAATGAATGTGCATAATCCACATAAAAATGCTTTAAGACTTTTTCTGTATAAGTAGATTGATGAACAAATAATGTTTCTGAGGAATGCTCAATTTGCAACCTAAAACAGAATTTGATTTTTCCCAAATCTTTCATATCAAATTCATTTTT